TTCCTCGATCAAAGACCTTGCCACCTAAAGTCTTCCTCAAGTTCAATTTCAGCGCTCAGCGCTTCGTCTTCTGGGTCGGCACTCTTGGAAATGATGACGCGAAATGTGCCCTTCTCGGCCAACTACTGTTCCAACTCTTCGTTCCAATATGACAACGCATACTTGTCAAGAGTGACCTTGGCAGTGACCGTGTCTCCTTTCGCAACCCAGACTTTAGTAAAGCCCTTCAACTCTTTCCGAGGACGGTCAAACGTCGTCTCGATGTCTTGAACGTATACTTGAATGGTCTCTGAACCATCTCGAAGTCCAGTGTTGCGCACTTCGACGGTAACCTCAAATGACATCGCACTACCGTTATCGAAGCGAACCTTCTTCGGCACCTGCAGATTGGAATATTCGAAAGTTGTGTACGACAGGCCATAACCGAAGTAAAACAGCGGGCGCGTCTTGACCTTATCATAGTATCGGTAACCGACGAACACGCCCTCGCCATACATGATCTCCCTCTGGCCTTTTCCAAAGGTCAAGAAAGCTGGCGTATCATCAATACGCTTTGGAAAGGTCACTGACAGACGGCCGCTGGGGTTGACCTTACCAAACAGAACGTCGGCCATGGCATTTCCTGTCTCCTGACCACCGAACCAGGCGTGTACAAGAGTTGCACCTTTCTCGATCCAGGGCATAGCTATGGGACATCCGGACTGAGTTACAATAATCTGAGAATAGCACGTTAGGGATCGAGTCCACAGTCGCGGAGATTAACACACTTACAGTGTTGGGGTTTGCCGCAACAACCCGCTCAACCAACTCATCGATCCCCGGCGGCAAGTCAATAGAATTCCGATCAACGGCCTCACTCTCATAGTCTGCATTTAGTCCAGCTATCACGATGGGTATGTCGACGGACTTTGCCAGTCTCACAGCTTCATCCAAAGCCTGCTCCTTGTCAATCTTCTCACAGCAGCCGATCCTCAATCCACCTGCACTGAGAGCACCAACCCCGGGAATTGCGGCTTCGTTTCGAAGCACTACGCAGACTTCATAAGCCTTTCCGGCCTCAACTTCAACGTCCGCAGTCAGTTCCATGCTTGCTTGGTTGAACATAGGTGTATGCATCGTCTTCTTGGGTTGGCTGGTGAAAAGATCGATGACCTGCTTTCCGTCGACATACAGTCTTCCCTTTCCGATAACGCAAAGTCCGAGTTGGACTTTTGCCGTCTTTGTGGCAGTCAAGCACGTTTTCACACGCAACCAGTACGCGCTGGGGACGCCCGTTGGAAGACTATCGGCGAAGTACATCTGCGCCTGTGTCGTCGTTGTAGTGTACAGAGGCGTTGCATCTGGGTTTTCTTCAAAGTTCTCTTCAAACCAATCAAGAATGTAACCAGGCTGGCTTGTGCCAGGGACAGTCACATTGGACGACAGAAGAGGGGTGAAGAGATGGCCTGCCATTGATTAGCACAAGCATGATACCTCAAGCTGGCATCACTTACCATGACATCCTATGGCTGTCTTCACTCTTCCCTCCCCTACGATATCGACAATAGCATCCAACGGCGTACTGACATAGTACGGTACCAAGTCCGCTGATCCACCACCACTTACGGCAGGCAACCGAACAGCAGGTCCAATTAGACCAAAGGTCTGCTCGCAAGACGGATTGAGGGGCAGCACGGACCGTTTGTTCTTCAAAAGAACTATCGAGTTGCTCGCCACTTTCCTGCACACCCGCCGTTTCTCTTCAGTATCACCTTGCGTACGCTCGTCGCGCCGATAATTCAATGCTGGCTGAACCTTGTTGATCAGATTCAGCAGACTTCGGACCCGCTCATCAATGGTTGCCTCCTTGACCTTGCGGCACAAAACAGCCCACATGAGCAATTCGCCCCTCCACCTTGCTGGCCCGGGCATCTCAAGATCAAGCCCAGCATTCACAGCCTCAGAAGTGCTGTACGTCCCGAACCAGTCACTCATGATCAGTCCGTCCCATCCCCACTCCTCGCGGAGGATGTCCCCCAAGAGCCATGGATCCTTGCTCGCATGAGTACCATTAATCCTGTGGTACGCCGTCATGAAGCACCACGGGTTCGCGTTTTTGACGGTAATCTGGAAGGGTAGGAGATGCATCTCACGCATCGTTCGCTCCGAAACTCTGATTGAGTCTTCAATAGACATAGTAGACTGGTCATGGGCGGCATAGTGCTTGATGCTAACCCCCACACCGTTTGTCTGCACGCCGCTGATGTATGCAGACGCCAAGGTGCCGCTCAGGAATGGGTCCTCAGCGAAAGCTTCAAAGCCACGACCGATGAGCGGAGACCTTTGTAGACAGACAGTAGGGGCGAGGATAACATGACAGCCCTTCTCTTTGGCTTCAGCTGCGAGCATCTCGCCCACGGAATGCATCACTTCGGTGTCAAAGGTAGCGCCCATGGCCGTGGCTGAAGGCAACAGACACCCCGGAGGCTTGATAGATCAGCGACGATGAAAGCTTCAGGTAGAATCCCACGTACTCCATTGAAGAAAGCCGTTCCTCGAACGCCATGTGGCCCGTCGGAGGTCTGAAAAGGTCAGCAATGCCCACATATTACTGGTGGCGCCATACTGCGATACTTGGAATTTTGAGGCGGTCAATCGCATGTGTTGTCCAGGTGTCTTTGCCCGCGAGAAGTTTAATTTTCTCCTCGAGAGTAAGATTCATAATGGTATGTGGCACGTTGATGAGAGCTTCCGACATACTGACTAACGGTCGAGCGGTAAGTTCGGTCAAGACCGATGAAGCAGCTCTTGCAGCAAAGAGTTAAGAATTGCCAAAATTCTCTGGTAATATACTCAGACTATATACTTGTAGTCCTCTCATATTCCTTCATCGCATTTTCCCCGTGGAGAAATTGGGGTATCCGTCTAACCAGAGCCTCCACAATTTCTCCGCGGCGGTTTGCCATGACAATGACAAGTTTGACAAAGACCACCCATGAAAGCAGGATTGAGCCGCTCATACATCATTCATTCGGCAAGCTTTGGCGTGTTACACAATATGAAATGTCAATAACCCAATGTCCCGCACTGAATCTAACCTCCTTCGCAAGATGACTGACGTCCGTCGATCTGTACTTTGCCCTTGATCAAACCTAGGGAATGCACCGGAGCGCCGCAAACTGGCTCTTCGGGGTGATCCACCAGACCCAAGAAAAGCCCCAGACGAATCCGATGGTCTTTCCAATTTTCCCGCTCAGCGCGTGGTATACCCTTGGGCAATTCGTTTTGAGATAGTGCAGGAACAACGTCTCGAAGGCGATGATAACGAAGTTTGCCACCCACGCGAAGACCTCCCACCAAAAGCCGCACGTAATACCGGCCAGGTAATCCGTGTAAGCGTGGAAGAAACCGCTGATGGTAAAAACAAGGCAGTTCAGCAGCCAGCGCTTCTTGCCCATGAAGGGACCCCTGCCGAGCCCGACGGCCTGCATCATCATCTCTCCAGTGCCGCAAACAGTGCGGTAAATGAGGCGGTCAAAGTACTTGCTCCAAAACCGGCGGATGCTCCATGCTTGGCGGATGTCTCCGAACATAGGGGGCCATTCCTCGGGCTCGTCGATTCCAAGGCCGACAAAGAATAAAGCGCACAACAAGTGAGCTCGGTTGTACCAGTTGTAGGCTGCCCACATAGATTCGAAGGCGAAATAGACACGAACCCAAAACTCGCGGGCTTCGATATGGTCCCCCCTAAGGAAGCGACGGATTATTGCCGACTTGTGGTCCTCTATGTCCGTCCAGACGAAGCCGAGATATCTGTCGATGACGATGTCCTTGGCGTTGTCTACAATGATGATGAGGAGTATTCGACATACCATTTCCAACATCCACCGAAGACGATGATTTCTCCATATCTTCAAGGCGTGAGTGCTGAATCTCTTCCAAAGCTCTACGGCGACTTGCTTGTTCGCCGTATCGGTGACTAGGGCAACCTCGTTGTCTTTTCTGTCGTTCTCGGCGATGGCCTTCTGGGCTTTTCTTTCGGCCAGTTCCTTTCTCTTCTCGATTACAGCCGATGGGACCTGTCTTTCCTTGTCTTGGTCTTTTATGAGATGGTAGACAGGGGCTTGCCGAGCGGTATTGATAAAACGTCCGTTCCATGCAATCTTATAAGTGGCGCGGGCACGCTGAGGCCATGGGAGTTTCTTCTGCTCCTCGGTGAGAACGAATCCTTCGCGAAGAACCATGACTACCGCGCCCATGCATTGGATGATGATGCCCTTGAGTAAAGTGTCCTTCACGGCATAGTTCATGTTGATTCCGCTGACGTATCGCAAAATCTCGATGCCGGTGGCGCAGAAGGCGAGCACATAGGGTAAGCGGTACTTCTCCTTGCAATTGACGGCTGCGACACCGCACGTCAAACCAACGAGGTAGACTAATGCTGGCCAAACCCAAGCTTGCCAGCCTGTGTAATTTGTCGCGTTAGGCAGCCTATATGACCTTTGTGACATATTTGCGGCATATTGTTCCGTTGACATCCGTTCCAATTCATCGTGGGTGTAGTTGGAGGCTTTCGAAGTGATATTCCTGGCAATCGAAGTAATATTCTCGACGATGGAATCCATGCCGCCGGTGTGGTTAAGGGCTGTCGAAGTCACATTCTCGACAATGAACTCCATGTCGTCGGTTGATTCTTCTTCGACTCGAACGTCTGTGTTAGTGCATAGATCCAACTGAAAGACTATAATTGGTAGTTTGCTTCCCACGCGCCTTACCCGGTGAACGACAATCGAAAAAGCAAACTTCTTGGGACGCAGGTAGCAAAGCTCGAGTGTTGTGTGCAGCGAGTCGACTTGGACTCTTATAATAGCCCATCTCCGTTCAGTTCAGCCATCACGGTGCCTTGTCTATAAAATTGAACTTTGCATTCATGTAGGTACACCCCCGTCCATCGGTTCCCCTAACGCCCCCTGGCCCGCGAGAGTTTGACCCAATGACCATGTCCTCAAGCCCATGCCTGACTACTCCTCAACACGACACAGTCTTCCATTCTCATGAGGCAATCCATCGGCAGTCTCAATTGTCCAAAACTCGCTGCCCACTGCAGTTGCAGCATAAAACACATCTTCAGGGTCCCATTTCTTTTTCAGCTCAAGCAAGCGAGGGTATTTCTCGTCTCCGTAGAAAGATTGCTGAAAATTTGGCTCCATGCGATCGGACTCCGCCAGGTAAGAGCCAGCACCTGGAGAGACGTCTCTCCAACGCTGCATATCTCCGAAGGTAAACCCATTTCTTGCTTCCAGGATTTGATCGGCAGTGGCATTCACAGACCACCGCACTGACTGGAGAGCGAATAATATGTTTTCCCGCCAGGCAGGGTTCACCGCGTTGTCTGGATTATCCGGACTCGTAGCTTTAATGTTAAATCCCACGAAGACGTGGTTTGTTTCCAGAGACGTGCGTATGGCGTCGAAGGTCGCTTGTCTCAAATCTTCTGACTCGAAATTCTTCCTTGGGAAAAGACGAGAGCCGCTCTGGACATTAACCTTCTCGACGACTTCTAGCGGGAAGAAGTCCTTCCAAGCAGGGTAGAAAGAGGCGTATTCGGTAACGTTAGGATCAAAGTCAATCCCCAGTTCCCGAAGCTCGGTGAACCACGGGTTCAGCAAAGACTCCACGACCTTTGCGGTCTTATTGGGGGCGAAGAAGGGTGTCATTTGGAACAAGAAATTCCCAGGACTGGGGTTATTCGGAAGCATGATGAAATAAGAGTATGTTCCGTTGTCGGCATTGTCGATGAAATAGTCGAAATAGCTTCGCACGCCGGACCAGAAGGTATCATTCGAAAGACCATCTGCCGTTGAAAACTTGAATCCTGCTGCTGTCGTCGGAACATCGGGAAACGCCTTGACCGTGACGGACGTGGCGATTCCAAAGGTTGAGCCGCCACCTCCACGGAGTGCCCAAAACAAGTCCGAATTTTGCGTATGATCTGCGGTAATAAATCTGCCATCGGCAGTGACGACCTCAAAGGCAAGCGCTTGGTCTGCACCGGTGCCGTAGATGGAGCTTAGGGGAGAATGACCACCCCCCTGGATGTACCCTCCCATCACGCCAACAGTCTGCAATAAAGGCGTTAGCGTCTAATCTTCAAAGTTCTTGATCACAACGTAGAAACTTACCTGCCCTTCTCCTCCCACAACCACCTTTCCGTGCTCGTGGGCGATCCGATAGATCTCAAAGGCTTGCACGCCTGTGCCGCACTTGAACGCCGGACCGGAGTACCCCTCCACCTCATCAACCATCTCTGGAATGTACTCCACGTCTTTCAGGTAATGCGTCCAGATGCTCAAAGACTGGCCACCGCCCGACTTTCCTGAGAAATCATGTCCCGTGTTCTTTACCACGAGTCGAATACCCGTCTCTTTGGCGAACTTTACTCCCTCCTGAATGTGCTCGGGCGTGGACGCATTGATAACATACCAAGGGAAGCCGCCCATTGTGCAGTTTCCAGAGTCATAGATGTTCGGGGGCAGGCACGTCAGACCTTGGTAAACGGGCGAGAACATCTCGATGGGGTCATCAAGGTGGGTGTACGAATTGGTCCAGTTTGCAGACATGGTCGCACACCGAACCGCATCGTACTCCAATCCGGGATAACATGCTGCAGCTTGGGGTCGGGGTTTGAGCAGGCGATTATCCACCCGGCCATTCAATTCTGCCCATGCTTCGTCAGAGGGCCAGGCGTTGTCGCCAGGGTAGACTTTGCAGCGCCCCTCAGCGGAAGCGATCCCTGCAATTCCCAGAAGGAAGAGAGCTGGCAGTTTTATCGTCCTTGTCGTCATGATTGATGTCTCTGCGATGCTGAGAAAAAGCTTGAGTATAGTTCTGGGAATAACTGTGGCTATTTATTGACAATAATTCCCGCCGTGCTTTCATCTTTCGTGAGCGATGAGCCCTCTGGGGTTGTACTGAAGATGCCATCCCCTCCGCTTAGATGGCGATCTTCCCCTAGAGAGAAATTCAGTAGCATGTCAGCGTTGCATATGGGGCCATCACCCTGGGATTCGTCAGTCTCATTCGCTCCCTCGCACTTGATATATGCTTAATGAAAAGCCGGCAGAGTTTATTACCCTAGCTTGCAGCCCCTTGCTGGCAAAATTCTTTTCGGATCAACACGAGGAGGGGTCGCTGGCGATCAGGAGAAGAATGAGCAAGACCATTCTTCGGCTTTTTCTACTCTTCGCGCTCTGCTTTCCTACACCTACACAATAATTCAAGTGTCAACATTTCCCAAGACATTGAGATTAAGCCGCGGCGATCTTCTGGACTCATACAATTCCGTTCCCTTTTCTCCATTGTATCAAGTGACCTCCAACCACAACAGACATGTACACATTCCTACAGCCTCTAAGCTACGTGTTGAAGCTGTAGTTGCATCAACCCTCACGAAAACAACCATTTGCTTTATTAGTTAGTTCCACATGATATTTCGTCAAGCTACAGTGCATAGGTGGTTGTTATCACTATAAATTGTAGAACATGACTACACTTTGGTCTCCACACTGCTGGACAACGTGGTAATTGTCGGCATTGGGGCTTGTTTCATTCATTAAATCAATGATCAGATCCTCACATGCAGGCGCTCAGTTCTCTCCGAGAGTGTTGTCACAATGTTCAACTACTATTTTCAAGCAAGTGAAAAAGACACCATAATATGAACCCAGCCTCAAAGACTAATCGGTCATGATAGAAGCCATGGCGACGCACTGCGGCGCTGTGTTGCTGAATCAAGTGACTGTGAAATTGTGGTCTATTTCCATGACAAGCACTTGCCGCGCGATCAAATCGCCTCACCCTGGAGACATTTCATCTCTTAGGTCTGGGACACAAACAACGGATTAAAGCAAGATGTGTCATGAGTCTGCATCTAGCTTTCCTGGCAATAATCAACCAACCACGATACTTGCAAGCCTTTCGTCCCGTCTGATTCCGGCTGGACCTTTTGCTCGGCCTTACTATTCAGATCCTCACCCGCATACGCGTATCGACGTGCTATCCGTCGTATTGACTACGAAGAGTGACGGGGGTTCCCCGCATTATGCGCGGCCAAAATCACCGAACCATGTTGTCGATTCGATTCATCTGGTAAGAAACCAAAAGTTTGACTGTTCTTTTATTCACTGCCCTTTCTCGTCTCCATTGGTTCAAGTCAGCTCTGTGTGACCTGTTCGTCCGTGGTCTCTGGAGAAAGCCTCGCTTGACATCTCCCCGAGGCCGATCCCTGACCGAAATTCACGGCCATGATCCGAACTTCGTGCGCATTCGCACCGAATACGACATCAAGTGACATGTTTTTACCCCAGAAATGCGGGAGTCCCATGAGCTATGCTGCAAAGAACCCCGACTGCCGATGCACCCCAGATTTGACCATTCCCAATACACAGCAAGATTGCGCCCCCGAAGGAATCAAGTTAGATCAGGGCTATTGCTATGACTCGGGGTTTTCCCTCCCGAGGCTGTGGCGGTCTCTATTTCCTCATCAGTATATAAAGCCCAAGTGATTCTGGATGCACGTAATTCTGTCAAAGTGTCCTGCGCTGGCCATCAATCATTTACTGCTTTCTTCGCCAAGTTCTTCACGGAGTCATTCAGCTTGATTTGATCCATTGCAAAGGCCATGCATCGGTTGCTAATGTTGGTGCTCGCCATCTCTCTGCCTTATTTACCTCTCTCTTCAGCTTCACCGTCCGACTTCGATAACCCTTCCACAGAGTTCCGTCCAAAGTTCCGATACTGGTATGTACCTCTTCGGTCTCATTTCTCATCATTGAAACGCTTCTTACCTTTGGCAGGCTTCCTGATGCCTCAGTTCCTCATCAGTCTGTTGTTGACGATGTCAACAATCTTGCTGAAGTCGGAGCTGGAGGCCTCGAGTTCCTCCCATTCTACAACTACGGTCTGGGTCCGGCATTAACTGATTGGTCCGTTTACGGATTTGGCACAGAAGCTTTCAAAGACGTACTGGCGGTGGCTTTGAACGCAACTAAAGCCCAGGGTCTAAAACTTGATCTAGCCCTTGGTGCCAATCAAGGTGCCGGTGTTCCCTCTATGGTCGAGACCGTAGGCCTCGCCAAGGAGCTCGTGTATGGAAACATTACGGTTCCGTCGGGGAAGCTCTACTCGGGGCCAGTGCCAACGCCCAACGTACAGTACAACATATTCACCGGCTTCATGAATACACCAGAGCCGTGGGGCGCCAACAACCTTGTGGCGGTCGTGGCCGGGAAGATCGTCACCGAAGTCCACTTAGCGGAATACTTCTACATGTCTGTTCTCGAGGAGGATACGTTGGTTGATCTGACCAACACCACCAATCAGGGCACTATCTCGTGGATCCCCCCAGAAGGGGATGGAACCTGGATTATTTTCGGTGTCTACGAGCGTTACACAAACCAGAGAAGTTGTGTCTCCATCGCGAATGCCCCGACGGCCCTGGGTAACGGTTCTTGGATAGTGGATCACTGGAGTTCCGAGGGGGCCAAAAAGATGACAGACTTCTGGGACCACCAGATCCTATCAGATGATACGGTAGCTTCTCTCATCAAGGAGGCTGGCGAATACGGTTCGTAATTCCTTCTTGGCCTCCGGCCCGGTGCTGACTCCTATCCAGTCTGGGAAGATAGTATGGAGATGCAGGCTGCTTTGCCGTGGACCGATGGTCTAGCCTCTCGTTTTGAGTCCTTGAATGGTTACAGTATCACCAAGTATCTCCCCATTCTCTTCCATGCCACGAACGCATGGGGTGGGTACCTGCCGCCGTATAATATCACTTACACCCTGGGCGAATACGCTACTGATGGCGGGCCTTATGTGCAAGACTACAAGTCAGCCCTTGGCCAGGGCTATCTGGAGTATTTGGAGCACTACAACACCTGGGCCTCAGCCAAAGGCTTGAAGCTCTCCACGCAGCCCGCATACAATATGCCTGTCGATATGGTAAGGGCTTGTTCTTAATCTTTCCTTCATTTTCTGTTGCAAAATGTAGTATGCTGACATGAAGTTGTCCAGACTCAAGCAGTAGCTCATGTCCAAGTCCCAGAATTGGAGTCTTTAGGTTTCTCCGAGAGCATCAAAGAGTACCGTCAATTCACGGGAGCAGCTCATCTAGCCGGCCGCAACGTCATTTCAACTGAGCTCGGAGCGGTTCTTGGAAGTGCCTACAAGCAGACCATCCCCAATCTGAAAGCCCTACTTGATGGTTCATTCGCTGCTGGTGTCAACAATGTCGTCCTACATGGCTACGCATATAGTGGGCAATACCCTGGGACAACCTGGCCGGGCTACACTCCCTTCCAGTACGAATACTCGGATATGTGGGGTCCTCGACAGCCGGCTTGGAGACATCTCAACGACCTCATGACATATTCCGCAAGGAATTCAATGATCATGCGACGAGGCGTTCCAAAAGTTGATCTTGCTTTCTATTACATTGAGGTTCCATTCAAGTTTGGCGCTAGTGTGTACAACAAGAGCGATTTGAATGAATTTGGTAAGATCAAGCTTTCCGTAGAAGTACTATTCACTGACAATTCTCAGGATACACGTTTGAGTATCTGGGCCCCAGTAATCTCGTGTCCGACCACGCCAAAGTTGTCAACGGAGTTCTTGCGCCAGAGGGACCCGGATACACAGCCTTGATAATTTACAATCAGTCACAGATCACGCCCAACGCATCTTCGGCACTTGTCGACTTCGCTCAAAGTGGTCTGCCGATCTATATCGTAGGGACTCTTCCGAATGTCACCATCGGGATCAACGGTCAGGAAGAAGTATCGTCCAGCATGGACGAACTCCTGACCTACGATTCCGTTCGTTTTCTTAGCACGGAGGCATTTTCTCCCTCTCTGCTCATTGCCGACGGCGTTTTACCGCGTGCCAATACACATGGAAACTCTAATGCGTCCAACCTCTACACATTTTGGACATCAGACACTTCCTCCCAGAGCAATTACGTCTATCTATACAACACCGGCGAATATGGCACCTTTGACATCTCGCTTTCCGCGCGCCCAAATACAGCCCCATTCATTCTCGACGCTTGGACTGGAAAAAGAACCGCTCTGGCTGTGTACCAGAACACCTCTACAGGCATCACGACGAGGGTCGGGCTGAAGGCACATCAAACGCTCATACTTGAACTCTCGGTATCCACTGAAAACAACCTCTTCGTCGTTGAACACTCATCGAACGTCGAATCGGTCCACATTCCTTCGTCGGAAGACCTTGACATATGGCTCTATGGATCTGACGAAGCATGGCTGAAATTGAGCAACGGAACCCAGATTACTCTCCCTCCTGCGGCCAGCCCAGCTCAAGCTGTCATTACTCTGAGCCCTTGGCATCTTGTCGTGAACTCATACGGCCCGTCCGCCGACAATGACACCCTGGAAGGCGAAGTTACTACTATTGATGTTGGTCAGCTGGACAGTCTGAGGCCTTGGACGAACATCTCTGGCATCGAGCACCTTAGCGGGGTCGGCATATACTCCACCAGCTTTGAATGGGTTGTCGACGACCAGGCAGCCGTGACCATCAACTTTGGAACAGTATTGAATACCTTGAGGGCTTGGGTCAATGGGAAGCAGCTTGCGCCGGTTGACCCGACAGACCCCGTTGCTGATATTTCGCGTCTCATCATTACAGGCAACAACACACTGAAAGTTGAAGTGACAACAACCCTGTTCAACTCAGTCAAAGCAAACGTAGACCGAGTCTTTAGCATCGGCTTTGGTCCGCAAACACCAACGTACTACACTGAGGCGGCTTGGGAGAAGTTTGGTCTCATAGAGCCTATAGAGCTTCGGTCTATCAGAACCTTGACTGTTCCATTGAAATAACTACTGCACTATATCGCTACAATAAAATATACTACTGCACTGTGTCCTAGTCAGGACATGGACCATTTCATCGAAATAAACTACTTCACTGTCCCGGCTGTGATCCTTGCTATTGACTCATTGGATCACCTCCTGTCGAACCCTTCCTGTCTCTTCCCTTATGTACAGTCTTTTCTGTCCAATCTTGTCAGTTGACCTTCCTTCTGGGATACTGGGTTGAGCCTTACAGGTGTATTTAACTCATGTCTCCATCACTCTGCTGCGATAACCCATCGTTCAGCCCATAATCGACTCAAGTAGAAGAACCGAAGTCAGGTCCATTTGAGGACGGATCAGAGTCGAGATTTCCCAATTCGGGATACAGAGGCTGCAGAGGCTGGTAGTTGGGTGGGCTCGAACCGCCGGATCCCGACATCTCATTCAATTGCGTATTCTGCAATGCGGGCGTTTGGTTGGGGCGTGTTCTCAAAGGCATAGGATTGGGGGTATCCATGTTCGAGTGAGGATTCTGCGGCATTGGGACTTGTTGCGGCACTGTTCCCGAAGTCTGAGGGACAGCATTATTCATGTTTGGTGCATGATTCTGTGGCATGGCCGTCTGTTGCGGTGCTCCTGGCTGAGGCTGCAGCCCAGGGGAATCCGCCCGCACCCAACTAACGACATTTCTGCGTCTGTGTACGGGTCCTTTTCGACACTGGAGTTCGACGTTGATCCGAGATGGGCGCATGCGAAGAGTTCCCTCGAAGTAACCGCGAATGACGTTGAACTCTCTGTTATTCACACCCTCGACGTAATGTCCATAGTACTTTGTGCGGCCTATCTCGGTCCGGACAAATGACCAGGAAAGGCGTCTTTTGGCTTCCGCTGGCGTTTGTCCTCTGTATCCCCAGAGATCGTAAACGTCTGGGACGGACAATTTCGTACCAATGAAGACCTTCCTCGAGTTATTGTTGGCTGTCATGATGGTTGATGGCGTATGTGTAGGACTGTTACAAGTGGTCGTGTCTCGGTCTGGACTCTGGGGTTTTCAAAATAGTCTTGAACATGTTTGAGACAAGCCTATAGGGAATGTGCACAGTTGAAAACAAATTCTTTATAGGGCGGGTTGAAAATTCTGTTCGCCTTTCTCGCGACCCATGCGAACCATATCCACAAGTTCGCCTAGCCCTAACATTTAAACTTCAAAGACAGACCGGCTAGTACTGAGAACGATGCTTCAGGACCTCAAGGTAGATCCGCTTGAGCTTGGGTTGGCTGCCTGGCTCCAGGTTTTGGCATCGTCAGGCCTTCTATACGGCAGGTGTGTATGATCTTTGCGCATGTGTATGAGCCCGTTCCATGGTTCCGCCTTAGCACATTGGTCGAGCCAACGATCCATCGGGTGGCTTAATGACGACTTCTTCGGCTCCTGGACTCCCTTTTCTAAGCAGGCGTTCGTATTCTGCTGGTTTTCTTGCATTCTGCGGCGCATGTTAGTACGCACCAGACTCAAAGACTGGAGTTGGACACTAACTTGGCTATTACCAGGCTTGTCTCGATGATGCCCTGGCTAAGTTTGGGTTAATTGCGTGATGGTTGTTATCTGTTTGTAATTCATGGACTACTCAAAACTCTGGAGCATTTCCGATCTTTATGCTCCAGAATGTATTTGGCCCCAAACCGAGGTATCAATGGACTGGGCTTGTTTGGGATCATGTTCTTTGGGGCCAATTTTTGCTGGGGCCGGTCAATGTGGCATTGTGAGAGCGTGGGGCCAAATATTATTTTGACTGCCATTCACCTCATACTTGGGGCCAGTTTCCAGTCTAAACTTCTTGCGGATTTCGGATCGACCTCTCTCAAGATTCCAGTAGTATTGGTCTTACATCCTGCATTTCAACATGACGTTGGTGGATCTGATCGCCACTGGCATATTATCGGCCAAGCAAAGTTTTCTGCCTGACCTGTTCCAACGGGACAAAACATGTCAGCAGATACTTATGATCACAAATCTAAATTACGAATTTCTATCATTAGGAAAAGTGCAGCAACTGGGTTCCTTTCCGTTCGAATTAGGTTCAGAAGTAGTGTTTGAAGCTTGAAGTGCCGAAAACATATTCCTTTTGACGGGCCAAACTCGTAGCCTCCCTCTCTTCCCTTTCAGAGACTTCAATCGACGGTTGGTTTGATGGTCACTCAAGACACGTTCCGCACGGCCATTGGCGCAGTCCTTCTAACCCTGTCACTGCGCATGTCCTCAGTCAAGCCGTCCATAGCGACTCGTTATGAAAACAACCACGATATTCCACATCCAAGAGCTCGTCATACATCTAAGAAAGGAGTTTTTTTCCCACTTATATCGCTGCTCGAACTTCTTCAAAAACTGCAGGATTTTTGAACCTGTTGCTGAGGATGTATCATGACTTGGGTGTCGCAAGCCGCTCGAATACGTCAGAAAGAGGCGTCAGACATCCGACGAGGACTATTATGCAAGTAATCTTTAAAGCCACTATTCTATTGAAAGCCTCGCTCTCCGAGATGTTAGTACCGCATCCAATCCTGGATGTGTTTGTAAGGTTGGAGGAAGGTAGGTAAGTCGAGGTAGAAAGTAGCAACTTTTGGGTAAGAGCCGCAGAACTAAATAAAAGCAAAATTGCGGTTTTGGCAATTTCTCCAAGTCACATCTCTTTTTCTTCCATTTTCGGTCGCAAAAGCTCGACATACCAGCGATCGCAGCCAGCCACAAAATCGGTGAGAGTAAATGAGACGTGGCACGGAAACGCCGGACTTTGATGCTAGCGGTGAAGGCCCTCCAAGCTCCGAGCCAATCATGTCTCAGATTACTAATGATTTCTCGAAGATTCGCCCCGACTTCACCGAATAGCGCACGTTGCTGACCTGACGACTCCGCCCTTCACATTGGTTCGGCACCTTCAATCGCGGGGGAACCACTACCGTTGTTGGCATCGCTAAGTCTCAGCCCTACGAAAGGAAAGCACGCAATTCGTTTTCATACATCATCATGAGCGGATCAAGTCTGACGTCGGCCACGGCGTTCTCGCCGTCGCTGGAGGCCATCAAGTTGGCCGCCAGCATGTACAATGCTGCGCGCGAGGGCAACAAGACGGTGCTGAAGGAGGCTCTCGAGGATGGGCTTCCGCCCAACTTGACGAATGAGAAGGGAGACACCTTGGTTAGCTTCCCCGAACGCCATGCTCGGCAGTTTGCAGCTTCACTGCCGGGGGCTTCGGCATATGGAAAGCACGGATGGCGGTAGCTAACACTCGTTGCAGTTGATGTTGGCGGCATACTACGGTCACGCAGACACAGTGAAGCTCCTGATTCAACATGGAGCGGACCCTAACAGGTTGAACGACAAGCGTCAGAGCCCTATCGCGGGTGCCGTCTTCAAAGGCTTGGATGCAGTGATTGAGGTAAGTGAGAACGTCGGGGCGATTGCCTGGGATTCACCCATCGTGAAGCATCAAAGAAATGTTGGTGCCACGGATACCGGAGCTTGACGGCTGACGAATTCGAAACAGGTCCTCTTGGATGGCGGTGCTGATCCGGACTACGGCAAACCTTCGGCCATGCAGTGTCTGTCCATGTTCAACGCGGAGGCGAAGTGGAAGGACAAGTTCGAGTCGGCGCCAGGCCGAGGCAAGGCGAAGGCCGTTCCGCAGGACGGCGCCGAGGAACGCGCGCCTGAGAGATTCAAGGCATGAATGCTGGTGGGAGAGAGATTAAATCATCCGCAATTTTGATGACTGACTCATGGAAACTTTGTGACGGATATGGCTTTTCGGGATTCATCGCGCGAGCTGGAGTTGGGCAAGACATTCATTGATTTCATTCAAAAACATGCAATTCGTCTCATTCTAGACGAGTAGATGCTTCCTGGACCAGAACGGTCTCACAATAAGATACAGCTTGGGAAGGTTGTTGGCGTGCCAACGTCCAGTGTTTATTTGGTTTTTGTTTAAACTGTTGCTTGAGTTTCTACGATTTCTCCACGTGGTGTCCTAGTTCACTCCGCAAGATCCCACAGGGGAGCAATAACCCGAACAGCATTGGCTGTTCTGTCTGCAGGCTGTGATTCGTGCGCACGTTAGCAGCAACGTAAACATCGAGCAGAAGAATCGCGAGACATCTGAATAGGTCCTATTATGACTTACTGTCGCCGAATTTCTTCTTTCCAACACATGAGACGACTGGGCCACGACGGGCCTCGAGCTTTGCAGGGACTGGCTCATTTTGATTGCCCGCCGGGACAGCCGCAGCGAGGGTCGCGAACAGGAAAACAGCGTTGATGAACTTCATTTTTATGTTGGTTAAAGAAACAGGATTCTCTTTGTTGTGAGCTCTGGGTCAAGTATGAGAAAGAAAAGCTTATGTGAGATGGCAACATTTCAATGCTGAACAAGTGATCCAGAGGCTAGATTTATAGATTTCACGGTTCTTTACAACGACGCGTCACCATTGGATACGATTAATTGCAACCTCAATTGCAGAAGAACATGCCTAGCTGAAGGGAATGATTCATGTTCAAAAACCTTCGCAGATTAATTTTGACCGACTATCGTGGACTTGAAGGCTGTAGTTGCGATTGACCTTCGCGTCGATTTAGCCGGCGATACAGCATTACGGCAGTTTCAAAATGCCTACGTGTACTGCGCGCTCATTTGGACTGAGCCCATGCAAGCAAGTGCGAACAGCCGCCGGCGATGTTCCAGGCAAATATGTAAGTCGCCGCCGGACATTGGCGCGCCCTAATATTACTGGAGATGCGCCCTAGTCAAATCGCTTGCCAGGATGTTTCACTTGGAATCTGAACATCAATTGACCCTCTTTACACGACGTTGGCACAGTTTCAATACGAATACTCGTCTTTCAAGTTTCATCCACCAATACCAAAACATCCGAATGTGGGAACCTGTAAAACTCTCGGCGCCGGAGGCTAAGGTTTGATATAGGCGCTGTAGAAAAATACCTAGGTCTGTTGTCTAGCGCATTTATCCAACAAGCTTTCATTTAGTTAAAGTATATGCGGGCAATCATAGAGTTCGACTAATCAACTAGTATTTTTCCGGTCCCCATAACTCGATGTCGTCCTACAGTTTCCTTTTGTTGCAGAAATGGCTTATAGTTCCCGCGGCCCCCGAATAAGGTCGGGATTTGAATTGCGCGGCCAAGATTCTTGGATCACCGGGTGATCTGCTCTCACGCCTGCCGGAAGGCTGCTTGAAAGACACAGTCTCAGGGTTCGATTTCATCTATCAGAGACAAATTCGCTCGCTGAATTATCTGAACACGCAAACCCTCTTCACATCATTCAGAGCAGATTTCAAGTTAATTTTCACCAACGGACAGGCCTAGTCTGGGAATTGTAGGTAACACAAGAGGTTTACTTCGCCTGATAAGGCGAGTGAAGGTCTGTTCTGAAGGCAATGAGCACGCACAGTGAAGCTTCTGGTTTGTTCTGGGCGCCAGTTCGTCCTGTAAATCAAGGTTTGGGGACCACATCAGCTTTCTTTGCAGATCACAAGCTTTATTCAGACGGAACTAGATGCTTCTTACCCCGCATGCGCATTCAATACCCTCGTCTTCGTTTCTGGTCAAGCCGGTTGGCGCCCGTCGGCAACATTGATTGGCATAGGACGAGGACTACCATGAACCCTGTGTTGCCTGCCCGACTACACTAGATGTTGCTGATTCTCAAACCTAGAACGCGGGCAAAATCACGAATTTCAACATCAGCAAGAAGGTAAAGCAACGAATAGTCCATGCCTTCGATATGAGTGAGCTGAAGACACAATACACAAGGTGTCTTCCTTGTAACCTAAGTATGATCCGGGCGAGGGGAAATGATGTTGTAATTTATCAAAAAGTCTGCGAGAGAACTACGGAAAGATACCACTATGTCAACTTGAACCAATTAAGCGCTACCCACTGGTCTTCTTTGGTCTACCCGCAACACCTCGTCCTGCTTGACAAGCATTGACATGTTGGATCTGCTTGAGATGGTTGCTCTCCGTACCTCCTTTCTCACAAATACATCGAAAGTTGGGCTTAAGGTACGCGCAAGTCTTTCCCCGAGAGATGTTGCTCAGGTGCCGTCGATAATGATCCTTGCGTGGAGTGAAGTAACCGCATCGACATTCGTACGACTTGGTTGCGTGTCCGACATGAGCCTTTGAACGGTAATGACGCCGGAGATCCTTTGGGCTTGCGAAATACCGGTTGCAACCCATTGTGCATGCACATCTCTGCTTTTGGTTGACTTCGGAAAGCAGATCCGGGTGTGGCGCGGTTCGAATATCTTGTAGGCTAACGCGTGCCGATGAAGTAGTCGACGGTGTCTGGGGCTCAAGCTGACCTGAGCTATCATCAGACGGTGCATTTGAATTGGCAAGGCTCATTTCCAGCGTCTTCCGATCAAGACATTGTGCGGCCGCGGGCATAGATCGAGAGCGGTGAAAAAACGGCCATACAGGTGGTGTAGGAAAAGTCGGGGTCTCTACCTGCACCAACAGGTGACCGAAGAAACTTTCCACATCTTCAACGGCGGCGGCGGCACGGTGGTCGATTGAGTACGATTTTTCAAGCAGGTCACTTTCCAACGTGGCTGGACATAGTGAATAATCAAAATTGAAATTGAAATTGAAACAAAGATTGGGGTTTTCGTAGACGTGTGTAACAATAGCAGAGCTTTGCAATCCAGGTTCTTCTTGACTGAGCGGAATTTGACAAGCGCGGGGTACCGAGATCCCCGCTCTTTGAAGTTCGTTACAGAAGAGATATGCAGGGTACTGAGAAACTACAGTGTTTTCGAGAGAAAGCTGCGCTGAAAGCAAAGATCGGTTACTTCTTCGAATTATCGGGACTGGTTTCAGATGAGGACGGGTGCGCGTGCGGGGGATGAGCTGTTTATGAGCCTCAAGGTCATCGCGCTTACGCCGACTTGAAGGGCTTGGTAAATTGGCCCCAAATGGCTTGGTCTTGAAATGGCGTAATGCATCAGATCTGAAAACTGGCCCCAAAGAGGCCAAATGCTCTTATTGGTTGCATGGTGCTGGTTTGGGTTTGGCACTGGGAGCACGAAGTGTCAGCTTGCAGCCTTGCGGTCGATAAGCCCGAATGACTGGCCAATACAGAGACTAATTGGCCCCTTTCTTGCACTTTCACTGAAATGAGGCGACCAGCTTACGTTTGTCTAAGTCTGGGCATGCAAGTCATTGGCAGCAGGAAGATTATTGGTTCATCGTTAGAACCAGGTAGACCTATTATTTTCGCACTTGATGACCTCTGCATTTACATCCATTCTCGAACCCTCAAAGCAGCCATGGCTGGAACTTCCAAAGCCTTCAACTAACGGAGAGAGCAAGGACTATCATGGTCCGTTTGTTTTGAGCAAAACCGAAAAGCAAAGGGCAAAGAGGCAGCGCATGAGAGGCAGGGCAAATGTACAAACTAGGGATGACTAAAGTAACTGCACGTTTTATCTCCAGATGGGCGGATGAGGCGTTTTTTTACATGTTTTGCTATTCAATACGTCAATTATTCACTAGATTAAGAGTCACTCAAGTGCTTCTGACAGCAGCTGTGCAGTCTGCGGGTTTCCTCTTCTGTGGTACCGACCGTCAGGAACGACCCTTTGATGATCAGAGGGCACTGCCATGTGGTGCGAATGGTGTGTACACATCCTACTTTTCTCTCCCAAAATTAAGAACGAAATCTTGTATTTCATATCACAGACCGTTTTTGGGCCGCTGAACAGACGATTCATCAGGTGACGTTAAGATCATCGTGTCAAGAGGAGCAGAGGCTGTTGCTCAAGCTCAGGTGTCGGAAGATGCTTCAACCTAACATGGCAAGTTACTTTGGGAACAACAGATAGTCAATCTCAGTGAAAGCCAGAACGTGAGTGTAGCTCAATTCAATCTGGCTGGACTAGTATATCCCTTAATTAGTTCGTGCAAACAAAGACCCAAACCAGCTTGTCCCCATCATACGACCTGACGTCACTGAGATATCTCACCTCGAGCATTCCGCATGATCAATGCTGCGTCAACACAGATGATAGCTAGAGTCATCCTGGCTCCCCTCGAACCAGATTGCACTGGTTTGGTTCCTAATATCGCTATCCACCCGGCCACACAGCCCCTCTCAGGATGCAATTTCTTCTCCGTCAATCGGCGGGGTAATGATGATTTTAGCAGCTCACCTCTTGCATCTCACGCCAGCAATTTCTGATGTGGTATGGACTCTAATCGGATGATATTGCTAGGCCTCATCGCGAGGTCCTGGGTTGACTAGGCAAGAAACGCTGATGTTGATTGGACGCAAGCTGTTAGTTGATGTGGTCGGGAGCGCGGCTGTGTCTTTGATTGAGAGCTGAGAAAGGCGGGGCGGCAAGACATACAAGTAGGATTGAGAAAGGCGGCAAACTCAATTCCAAAGCGTGTGCTGCTTGACACCTTTCAATTGTGACGGGACCGGCCGCCAAGAGTCAAGTGTGGGCAGCTGAAAATTCGAGATTATGAACCCATCTCATCGAGGCCTGAGACATAGACCGTTTAGCGGCCCCATAGCTACCTCAACGTCTCCTCCGAATGTACTTACGGTGCAAGTACTGTATCTAAGTGGCGCGGACCCTGGCGTCTGGTTTACTAACGGAGGGGGGCCTCTGAAAACCGCATCTAGAAAACCTCGACGATATATGCTA